AAAGTGGTTAAATTTACTTTCTACACACCCATAATATTTCAAAATTACTCTAAACTATTTTCATAGGATTATTAATTCTTGATAATTTTCTTTTTTTTAATGCAAAAATATATTTCATTAATCAACAAACCATAAAGCTTATATAGAACTTAGTACAGAAAACTTGATACAACAAACTAAAATCGATAGATCTGTTGGCCTTCTAGTATAGGGATCCAAGGTTCGATTATGGACACAACTTAAAGCACTTCTCTTAGCCCGTTTTATTCTCCCTCCACAGTTGGCTCTCCCAAAAGGGCTGTAACAAACTCTCTGTAAAGTCCGATCTCTAAAAGCCAATATTCTTCCAGATCAAGCTCGTCGAAGCGAAAAATCTGGCTAAAGACATATAGAAGATAAAAAAACAACACAAAATCCACACAAGGTTATAGCTTGGTAGGGGAAAACAACCAAAAACAACCAAAGTCTACACAGATCTAGCGATTTATGGGGAAAAACAAACACCAATACAGACAGAATGTCTGCCTTTATTCCATGAACAACTAAAAAAAGAGAAGAAAACACCAACACGGACTCCACCATCATATAGATCGGCTGACGTAGAGCGCGTGGTTGTATTTTGGGGGCCGGTTGACTGAAGACGCGCTTTCGGTAGCCAACTGGACTATTCTCCTTCTTCTTCGCTCTCTCTCTGTGGAATTTTCTCTCACTAGAAACCCTGTTTTTATAATGTGTTTCTTTTACTTGCAACCATAATTTTTCTCATTACATTCACTGTTTATTTTAATTTTTTTATTTTAATATTATCATTTCTATGTTTCTCTATTTTTTAGTTGAAGTTTTAGGCATGAAGTTTTTTTTTTTTTGTACAAAAAGAAATTTTATTAAAACATTTAAAAAAAAAACATAAAAGACACTCAAAAATATAAAGTAAAAAGAAATATAATTGAAGCAATAAAAAATACGCAACAAAGTTATTATATTATTAAGCACCTTCAGAAAAATATTTAAATTTTCAATTCTGGTTTCTATACGTCCTCTTAGCAATATTAGTTTGTTTGTTATTGTGATTATATTCTTATCTACTCTCAAGCTAGTTCGAACATTTCTTTCTTTGCCGAATCATCACATGGTTAATATCGTAAGTAAGCCAAAAAAAATATGTACAATTATTTGCTGAGTAAATTTTAAGAATTCGTTTAGTTCGCTGATTCAAGTTTTTAATTCGAGTTGAGATGTGACTTTATGTAAATTTTTTACTGTAACAAAAAAGTTAGATGTGACTATTTCTGAGAGCTTTTTTACTGTAACAAAACTCGAATCGGTGAAATGAATGGGACTTAAGAATTCCTTCCTAAAATATGTCAATACACATTCATTGAATCCACTAAAATTTTAAAATGTACCAATTGTACTTTTGATTTGTATAATATATCTTTAAATTCACCTCCTGAATTTTGAAATGTGTTATTTTTTAAAATACAATAGCATTTGCGACATATGAGATGGTCAAATTCTTTAAATCTTAACTAAACCAATTAAATTCAAGTCCGTTTCGCTGCCATTTTCTTGCTCTTGAGCAACTACTTCAAGGAGAAAATACATATAAGATCTAGCACCTAACTAATTTATTTGGAGTGAAAAACATTCATTAATTCCTAAATATTGCACCTAAAGTTAACTAAGTGACAAGTTTCCATCCAGAAAAATAGCATATAATTCCAAAGTTAGGGGAGTAAATTTAAAGAAGTACTAAGGATGCAACAAGTATGTTTTAAAGTTTGAGAAGTGTGTTTGACACAAGTGACATTATAATTCAGGGGAAGTCATATTTTATCTTTTTTTTTTTTTAGAAAATAAAAGAAATGAAACAAATGGATTGGTGCAACGGTAATAATATTTCTATTTCTTCTTCTCTTAAGATGTCTCCAAACTTGAATCTTGGCGATAATTCCAATATTTATGGTCTTGTTGAGCTAATGAATTGAGCGACATTGGACTCGTGGTGATTTGCATAAAAATCGGCTAATAGTTTGAGAATAATTAGATTAGATCATTTCCAATATAAATACTAATGACAATTATATATTTGATATTAAAAATAAAATAGGATATGATATTTTTATTTGTGCTTCAATATATATTGCTATTTTAAATGATAAATTTAGTTTTTTCTGTAATCATTAAGATTTAAAAGTTATAAAAATAAACTTTTGAATTTTAAAATAATTTGAAAATGCAAATTTAAGTCACAATAATTAAATTAAAAAGGAAACACATAAACAAATAGCAATCGAATTTATCATTGCTATATTTTATGGTAAATTTACTACAAAATATAGTAAGTGACAAATTTAACATATGACGAATTTATCAGAATAAATTATATTGTATTAGAGAGTGTTTTACACTTTAATATTAAATTTGTTATTGACACAATAATTATAATACTACATTGAAAATGTTACGCAATTCGTTCTAATCTATTAGGTGGTCCTGAGATCTTTTTTTATAGAGAATATAGACGAAAGAGGGATAACATCAATATCTTTTTTTTTTTTTTTTTTTTTTTTTAATGTTTTTACTGGACATATAAACAAGAAATGAGATGGATAAGGATGGGTTCTGCATTTCTTGTAGTCCATAATATCTGCGCTAAAAGTATACGTGCATGTAGCTTCGAGGAAATTTACCAGATAGATAGTGTTCAAAGTTTTCAATCCTATTCATTTAAGAAAAGAAAACGTGACGATTAAAAAGGACAAAAAAAAAGACAGCTGTTAACGATCCATTGGGTAGAATTTTTTGTTATTAGATACCAATCAATTTGAGGTCAGGCAGTCTTGGTCTTGGGCAGAGTCAAGGCAACCCAGCAGACTTAGGGTCTTTTTTATTACTTTAAATTATGATCAATGAATCTCAAATTCATTGTCCTCTCGATTATGACACCTTACAGAAACCTAGTCAAATAAGTTTTTAGGCATAGAATTAAACAGGGTTTGTATTTTAACCCTTCAATTTATTAAATCGCAAAATTATTGACGTTATTTAAACTTCTTTTGTTACAATATTTTTTCTTATAGAATTTTAAATTTTTTTGTTTAAATTTACGACACAAACCAAACCATATGTGATAAAAAAAGAAAAAAGAAACTGGAATCAGATAATAAAGCTTTGAATTTCTTTTTACGAAAAAAATAATGTTCTTATTATGTACTTCTTTTATCGGTCATCGGCCAAAAACATTGATCTTTTTTTCTTTTTATTTTTTATTTTTTGTAGAGAATGAAATAAAATTATATGAAAACTACTTCATACGCGGGTTCAACACGTAGATTCTACACTAATTTTAAGACTTACAACGAAACAAAATGAACGGGACCTTAATTACCTATTCGAATTCTTGTTAGTTTCAATGTAAAAGTCATGATGTTTTCAGTCCAATGAAGCTGATCAAGATTTTTTAAGGACTTTTTGCATAAAGTAATCCAAGCTAGCTTCTAGTGGTAGTAGAAATAGCTATAGCAAGTTGGGTGTCTTGATGTAACCATTATCGTACAACAAATTTTCCTCTCATTTTGTTAACCATGCAGGAAAGAGCTTCCTCGCGTTTTCCTTTTCATTTTCTTTCATTGTTCTTTTCCCTTTCTGGTCATCTTCTACCGCTGCCCCTTGAAATATCTTAATACACAGTTGAAATTTTACGTCCCGTAGATTCAAAAGAAATTTTTATATGCTATTTGCACCCATAAAATACTTTTGATTTATATCATTTGGCATTAATTAAAAATGTACATATGAATGAGCAATACGTTTATGTTTTTCACACGTTAAATTTATATCACAAATTATTCATTTTGTACATATTTTTTTATTTTGATTTTTTTTTTTTGAAAATATATTTTGATATGACTAAATCTAATATTCAGAAATGTGATACCTTTAAAATTGTGAATTGCCTATATATGTATATTAAAAAAATGTAAAAACCAACCAAGTTTGAACAATTTATATATTTTTTTAAGATAAAACAAGTTTGAACAAATGCTCCAAAAAAGACAAAAAAAAAAAAAAAAAAAAAAAAAAAAAAAGTGAGTGGGGCAAGGCTTCATTTTTGTCCAATAGAAGAAGAGGGCGGCTCAAGCGGATGGGTTGTTAACTTTCGGTACAAAAAGTCTAAGGTTACTTGAAATTTGAAGCCACATGATTTTTTCAAAAGCGCGTCATTTGGTACTACATTGCCACTATAACAACTGCGTTTCGATCGGTCAATATTTGACAAAGAATTTTGTCTGAAAAAGAAGGTGTTGGATGAGTTACTAGCATATAAAATCCTGCCCCTAATATTGCTAATTATCCTCTAGTCAAAGCCCAAAAACTATTATATATACTAATTTCTTTATCTTTCAATATGTGTGTTGGATCTATAATAATCAAAAAATTTGAGTGAAGACATTTTCTTTATCATCTTAAATATGAGGGTTTATTCTTGTTAATTCAGTACTCAATTTAGATGATGTTTTTTACTGTATTTATTCTTAATTTTAAATCATATTCATAATTCTTTATAATATTTTTCTCTCATAAAAAATACACGTAAAATAAAAATAATTTTAAATCATAATTTTAAATATGTAAATTAAACATTCACTGCTTAATGTGTTTGGGACCACTCTCCCATGTAAAGAGGGAACTTCTAATCCTCTCTGAAAAAAAATAATTTTTTTCTTTAACCTTTATTTAATTATATAATCTCCAACAAGATCAGGTACACGTGTCGATTATACCGACATGCTCTAAAATAATAGTAATAATAATAATAATAATAATAGTAAAATTAATGAGAAGTGACGATTTCAAGATGACGTGGATATGTGTTTGAACGACTTTTCGACTCTATTTCCTGAAGCTTTCCTACAGAAATCAGCTTTTGTCTCTCTAGATATCTCTCTCTCTCTCTCTCTCTCTCTCTCTCTCTCTCTCTCTCTCATATGACCTTTTTATAAATAGCACACTCCTTTCTGGGTTTCCTTTCAGTGGTAGAAGACAAATGTTTAAACTCTCCATTGGTGATATAATGTATAATAGGTTTTTCTGGGGTTAATTTCTTTGAGTGGTGTACAACTTCGTGAACAATGGACTCAAAATGGGTTAAAACGTCTCTTGATCTCAACCTCAATATTCCTTTTGATCACGATACCGGCGAAGTTCCTGTGAGTAGAAACTTATAATCGAATCTGTGCTCTGTTTATTGCTTAATTAATTTCTCTTTTCTTTTGTTTCCCTTTTTGCACTACGTTCTTATCGCGCACACATGCACAATAATCACACTGATCTTTATTCCGGTTTAAAGATTTTTTTGGTACTTATATAACTTTTCATTTATAGCTTTCTGAGTTACAGAAGAAATTAGAGTTCAAAGGAGATTCCGATAATTTCGAGGAGAAATTGCCTGTGAAAGAAGAGGTGAGTACTTACAAGATCATCAGTGCATTTTTTTTTTCTTTTTTGGTGAATTACAAGATCAGTGCTTAAATACATATGATCATGAGTGTTTTAATTATTAGACTCGAATTATATCTATGAGGTTGTAGCTTACGAGTTTTGTTTGAACCAAAGATCTTATATATAATATACGGGTTCCTTCTGCTTCTTTCTCTTCTTCTTTCTTCTATGCTTATAAATTCTCCATTTTTTCATCACCCTAGAAATATATAGACTGTTTCCTGATTCAGACTTCGTTGTAATCAATTTGTAATTTTGTATACTATTTTAAGCGCGGTCGACCGCTATATAGCTACTATTTAATTAGAAAAACCTGTACATAATTCTCTCTGACTCTCTCTCTGGGGAATAGAGTACTGGTACAAAGGTCAAAACTTTGATTTGGTAATCATATGGTTTTCTCAAGTAACTGCTCAATTAACAAAATTTGAAGCAGCATTATTTAGATTCGATCAATTATCTTATATGTAGTACTGCAAATATAATATAGTTTAAAAACTAGAGTAGTAAGACGAATAAATTAATTTAATTAGTTCAATAATCATCAGCTTACTCCTGCCCATGTTGTAATTAAGCCGGCTGGCTTAAGACAGGCCGAAGAGCTAAACAGGATAAGCTCCGAGAACAGGAAGCTCACTGAAATGCTAACTGTTATGTGTGGGAATTACAACGCTTTGAAAAGCCAGTTGAGGAAGCTAATGATGAAAGAGAACTCCGAAAACGAACTACCAGTACTCTCGCCAATGTCGTCGCGAAAGCGAAAGGCCGGCAGCGAAGACTTGATCAAACATGCAAGCATAGAGTGTAGCTCCAGCGATGAAGAGTCTTGTAAATTATTGCCAAAGGAAATCAAGTCAAACTTTTCCACAGTTTACGTGCGCATCGATTCTTCCGATAAAACCCTAGTAAGTTTTTTTTTTTTTTTTTTTTTTTTTTTTTTTTTTTTTTTTTTTTAATAATAAACGTGGAAGCATGTTATGTTATACATATATGTTCTGAACTGTTCTCATCAAGCCTATAGCTAGTCAAGACCTAAGTTATTTTTTCTTCTTTTTTTTTTTGGTGGGTAATGTAGAATGTGAAGGATGGATATCAATGGAGAAAATATGGTCAAAAGGTCACCAGAGATAACCCATCTCCTAGAGCTTATTTCAAGTGCTCCTTTGCACCATGTTGCCCAGTGAAAAAGAAGGTAAAAAGCCAAATTAAACTTTTCTCTCTCTCTCTTTGTTTGTTTGTTTGTTTGTTTATTTATTTTTTTTTTTTTTTTTTTTTTTTTTTTTTTTTTTTTTTTTTTTTTTTTGGGTTTGTAAATTCCTATTTGATCAAGTATAAGAAAAATTTATGTGTAGTCCTAATAATATATGCTAATATTGATGTCCATACATATTTCTAGGTGCAAAGAAGTGCTGAAGACCCAACTCTCTTGGTAGTTACTTATGAAGGAGAGCACAGCCACAAGAACCCATCTACACCGGCGCAATACTTATCACTCAACCCGATCCAACCGGTGGATTCGCTTCTTCCTGTGAGATCCTCCGATTCTATGGCAACCCTTGATTTGGTCCGACCGGCCGGTTCGCCTAATAACTTCAAAACAATGCCGGTCCAGGGAGGTGAATTGCCTGTTTTGCAACAACTTTTGGTTCAACAAATGGCTTCTTCCTTGACAAGGGATCCCAATTTTGCAGCAGCACTAGCCACTGCTATTTCTGGAAGAATCTTTGACGGCCATACCAACCTGGAAAATAGCCAGTGATTATGCGGTTTTGGTTTTTTTTTTTTTTTTTTTTTTTTTTTTTTGTAATTTGAGGGAGGTTATAGATCAGTGTTTAGCCATGCAAGCTGTAGAGATGTAAATATGAGATTGTTGATGCAAACGATTTTAATCGTTTTGAATAGGAGGTTATGCATTTCTACAATCAAAACCCTTGCCTTTTATTAGCGTTTTATTGTAATCTTTATAATTTTCGTATCAAATTGTCAATTGGGCGCTCTCGAACTCAAGCCTGTGCTCTAGTCTACTATACCTCATGCTGTTTACACAATGGTCATTGCCTTTGTTAATTATGTTTATTATATATGTTAAGTTGTGAAGTCTAATTAATTGATCTAACGATTTATTACTTTATGTAGAGGATTACGCGGGTCGCCGTTTTATTTTCTCTTGTAACTTCTCTGTCATAGTAAAAAAATTGCAACGGCTGAAAGAGAACGCAGTCTCAATTTAAGCGAACCTCTATAAATTTTTTGTGTTTATTTCCGCTTGATTTCTTTTATTGCTATTTTCATTGATATCAGTAATTAGAATTAGTGTGTCTATATACATTAATTTTGTAAATATTGAAAACAAAAAGGGTCTCCATAGTCAATTATTTTAGAGATGTGAGAAAAACAATACCAATTAGACAGTGGTACAATAGCAAAAGTAGTACTAATCAATAAGTATTCCTTGAATAAAAGATTTTAGAATTCTGTCAGATTCTAGCTGGTTGATCGTGCATTATTAGTCCATCTTTTAAAAAAATGATAAATTCGGAGAAATTCTGATTTATCTTTAACTAGCTATAAGAGTGATGATACTTCTCAAGGGTATATATAAGCAAAGCTGGCGAATTGCATAGCTTCATCTTGATTACTATCTTTTTAGTTAAATATTTATATTAGTTAAAATAATATTAATTAAGAGTAAAGGTATCAGACTCATACACTTTAAATAAGTTCAACAATTTTCTAAAAAAAAGATAGTTGGATCTTCGAGTTTGTTAAGGTCGATCATATCGTTCACACTAATATATATTTCCCTACTTAATTACAAACTTTTAATTAATTTGACCAACAATGGCGGTATAATAATCTTATGAGTGCCACATTAGCGGAGAGGTGAATATCGCGCTTGTAATACTTATTAAATACCAAGAAATTTTCTTTCTAATTGTTTGGGCATGCACTGCAAGAAACATGGTTATTAGCGACGATAAAAAGTCATTGTAAAAAAGGTAAAGTCGTCGTAAATACATTTTTCGCAACCACTTGTCGTCGCAAACTTGTCGCTACAACTGTTTCGTCACAAAAATAATTTTTGCAACGATAATGAGTCGTCGCAGTTATATTTGCGACGACAATCGTCGCAAATGAGTCGCTATAATTATTTCGTCGGGTACATCATTAAGATGACATGACATTCATTATTTGTGATGACATTTTTCAAATTTAGTCGTCACAAAAGACACAGTGGTAGCTGACGTGGCATATATTTGTTGCGACGACATTTGTCATCGCAAATAATATTTTAATTATTATTTTTTTTCTCATTTTAATAATTATAATAACTATAATTCATGATATTAAATATAAATAAAAATTAAATAAAGGAAATAAATAATAAATAAATATAAATAAAAGTTATTATGGTAAAAAGTAATTAATAAAATAAAAATGTAATTATAGTAGAAATGTGCAGAAGTACAAATTGTTATATTAAAAAAACTCTAATCTCCTAAATTAGCAGCATCACTAGAATTATCGTTGTTATCATCAGAAGGATTCGGAGGCGGATGATCTGGACGGACATACGGCTCAAGAGGAGTAACCACTGGAAAAGTCATGTTAGGGTGCATTTGACTGATGAAACCATGCATCATTCTGATGCTCTCGTACAGCTTGAGGTTTTGCTGGTAAGTTCGTTGTAAGTATTCTTCTATGTGTGGGTCAGAACGTGACGTAGAAGATCTTGTCGAGCGTGAGCCAAATGACGACGCATCCCCTCGATAAACTTTTTGTGGGAGTATGTGACCCACTCCAATTTTGTGTCCTCTGCGGGTGCCCAGAAACTGCTCCATAATATCCTCCTCATTAACTGTTTCTGCCGCGGAGGATCCAGAAGTAGCAGACTGTGTCTGGATCTGCGTTTCTCTTTCGCCTTCCATCCGATGCTACAAATATTATAAGAAAAATTATTAAATACATAATGCGATTTAAATAAAAGAAATATAATTAAACATTACGTGTATACTTACAAAACTCTACTCAGCTTGCAGATTAACCCAAGTATCCCCACAACGATGCATGTCCCCCCAGTTATCGATGACGGACATCGGCTGTTGAGTCCCTATGGTAGACTGTATAGTAGTTTGAATGTATATAAATATAGTGTAATCGATTATCAAATTAACATTTATATTGAATAAATTATTAACAAATACTTACTTTCTTATCGCGATGTTCGGAGTACGACAGCCGACCATGAAAACTTGACCACTTTTGGTTGCTACGATTAAGTTTATTGATCCCCGACTTTTTCTATTTATGATTACATTCAGCGTTAGTAAAATTAACCTTTATTATATATTTTATAAAAACAACATATAAAATAGATTTAATTACCTGAAACTTGTCAGACATGAATCTACCATAGCAACGACCCTAGTGAGCTGGATTCCTGAGATTTTTAGGAGGTTGGGCCCTAACTGCACTCTTATTTTATATATATATATATATGTATACTTATCTCTTTGGCTCAAAAATTTACTGACCAATCTTGTTAATAGCACCTCCCCAGTAACGGTGCCAAAATTTGATTAACGCCCAAAAGTGATGGTCACAAGCGGTCAATTGTAGCACAGAAGGGCGGTCGTATCCACAGAGAGATAACAAATAAACAAGAAAGATTAACAGAATAAGAGCGTTAGAGAAAAGTAAATAACAAGTGAATTAAAGAAAAAGAAGAGTTTTTGAGATTTTGTTGCAAATAAAATAAAAATGAGAAAATTTGTATGAAGAAAATTCAGTAGTAAAAACGGTAAGGGTCGAGAATCCCTAATGTTTCGTTCACCAATTCAAGTTTTGATTCACAAAATAAAAGAATCGAATAAATTAAATCTCTATGTTGAGTCCGAAAATATTATCATTACAAGTTATCCAAAATCGACTATATATCAAATTGACAATATTACAGTAAAAGACAATTTGTAAAATAATTTGAATAACAAAATAATGCATGACAGAATTACATAAGAAAAGCATGACTGAACTTATATAAAAATTAGCACACAATATTTTGAAAAGTAAAAGAAAGATAGATGAGATTTAATTCATTCAGATGTAGCACAATGAATCAAAAGCCTGAATTGGGTCACTTAACAAAAGTTCATCTCTAACCTCACCAAGAGAACTCTAGCCTAGCTTGCAAAACATTCTCACAAGTTCTAGAGAGAAAATATGAGACTGACAACAAGACGACATAAAACTGAATATTAAAAGCTTCCAAAAACCTTAGGCTAACCTCTCTATTTATAGTGTTCAGAGGTTGCCTGTCAAATAAGAAAATAAATTGTAAAACTAGAAAATTACAAAATAAAAGGAAACAAAATAAAATTACACATAAATTTAGAGAAATCATATATGAAATTTGGGGAAGAAATCTAGCCAATTTACTCAGATTTGGAAGGAGAAATTCAGACTCTGTTCTCAGTGGACACGTGTCGCTATGGGGTTGGTAGATCAGAATTGATTTGCCACATGTCGCACTCAGAATAGCTGGCGTGTGCTGGCAAAAGGCTGTCGTGGGGACAGCTGGCGCGCGTAAAATGGATGCAGGGCTAGCACGCTGACACGTGGGACCCACGCTGCTGAGGAGTTGGACGCGTTCTGATCGCTGCGTGGAAGGAACGCGCGCACTGAGAAGATGGACGTGCTGGTGACGCGCGAGGCGTGAGATCACGTGAAGGGAAGGCGCGCGCTTCTGCGCTGACTGGTGGGGCCCACGGCGCTGATGTCAGCTCGGCTAAGCTGCTCGGCTCTCTCTCTCTCTCTCTCTGATTGGCTTGTGCGGCTCGGCTGAAAGGCTTGGCTCCGGGTGGTTGAAAATATGGCTTTCATGGCTTATTTTTGTGTAGTTTTTCACACTGCTTTCGTCTATAAATAATTAAGCAAAAACTAGACAAATTTCAATTAAAAATATTTTGAATAAAAATAATGAAATTGTTTAATTAAAGCTTAAATATTTTAATATTATATAAATCAAAAGCAGAATTTAGGGTGCATTTTCATGCACTAATCAGAGGTCATTTTTCCAATCTTTATAACATTTTGTAACCTCCTTGTTGGCCACAAACCTAATTATACCATCGTCGCGGTCATAATCGAGGTTAAACCATTCATGTAATACAATATAAACATGTTAAATGATTTTATTATATTAAAATTTAGATTAAATTAAAAAATAATAAAGTTGAATAATTTATACCAGCAGGCGCTGTTGAATCTCTCCCTTATGCTTGATGTCCACGTCTTTCCAGGCATCGTGAAAAGGCACACAGACATCTCTAACATGGATTCCAACAGCACTATCGAACCAGGTACCGTAGTTTCCAACTGCCTTCCAAGTACCTCTACGTTCGTCAAACATGGGGGTAATCTTTCCTTCCTTTGCCACTCTAGCTGCGATTTCGTGACCCTTAGCCTTCCCTCGACCTCCATGATGTCGTCGAGACGCTGTAGAATGAAATATATTTAGTGATCATATAATACTGATGTAATTAATTTAACAAATTTATAATTATGTTCTAACATACCTGACTCTCAATGTGATGACAACCTATAAGGATCGGGTGGAGGCTGCGCTCCCCCTGAAGAGCCAGTATATGTAGCGACTGGGCCAGACATGATTGCCTATTAAGAAGTCATCATAAACGTTATTATCTTATTTACATAAATCTTATTTAGATGAATAATTATAATTATTAAAACAATAATCGTAGTACATAATTTCTATTCATCGTCACTGTTAACGTCTTGATTGTCGCCCTCCTCATTTATGTCACCATCATCCTCAGAATCGTCGATATCTTCTTCAACTAAGTCTTCTTCATCATCATCGACCAGTATATCAGAGTCATTATCCCCAACAGAAGACTTGTCTTTTAAAATTGCATCAACATCAGATGATATATCATATCGATTCCACATCAAAGTGTCAATCTCGAGAACTTCCACGACTAAGTCAAC